TGTTCCAAATCATCTCAACACATTTACCTTCATAATTACTTCAGGGAATTTTAATCAGTCAAACGTTGTTTGAGAAGCGGAACGGCAAAATGTGAGGGTTTTTTGGCTGTTTTTGACAACATAAATTTTTTCCCCGTTTGCACAAACAAAGACTGATTTGCATTAAACTTGAATCCATTGTTCAACTCCAGGGTTTAGGTCAGGTGAAAGTGAAATATTTGAAATTGGCCCATTAGCGCCCCCTACAGACTGATTCAAAGTTTACATGGGGAGCCAAACCAGCTCTAATAATCATATTCATTACAATTTGACTAAGTTCTTCTATGGCTACGGGAACCAATCATCACACGGCGGCGCCACATCCTATGCGCGGTGCTACGTGGTACGGTGTGGTGCGGCGTAGTGCGGGGCGTTGTGGAGCGGTGCGTTGCGGCTTGGTGCGGGGCGGCTTGGTGCGGGGCGGCTTGGTGCGGGGCGGCTTGGTGCGGGGCGGCTTGGTGCGGGGCGGCGTGATGCGGGACGGCGTGGTGCGGGGTGGCTTGGTGCGGGGCGGCGTGGAACGGGGTGGTGCGCGCGGTGCGGGGAGTCGCGCGGTGCGGCGAGGGCCGTTTGACGCCGCTTGCGGCTTTAATTTATTTCTTTCTTTCTTTCTTTCTTTCTTTTTTCTTCTGCACTTTGAGCCTTAATTTGACCCCCTGAACATGCATGAAAAGTTGTTAATTTTGGCCCAAAAATCAGACCTGGCGAAAAATTTGATATTTTGGTGTTTATTTTTATGGGACTCAAAAAATGACGGAACAGCGCCACCTACAACAGCCAAAATAATACCCCTATGGGACTTTTAGAGATCAAGTTTGTCGTAGAGCCATGAAATTCGGTACACATGTTTCTATAGTCAAGCCAAGAAAAAAATATTATTATGGCTCCGCCCTCTGACAAACAGGAAGCCCATAAATTTCACTGCAAAATGGCAAAATGAACAGCAAAAGTTTTCATACATGTCGGTTGGAAAGCAACTCCTCCTCGGCCGTTTCACCGATTCGCCTCAAAATCGCTCCACATCATCTCAACACATGTACCTTCAAAATGACCTCAGGGATTTTTGATCAGTGCAACATTGTTCGAGCAGCGGAGCGGCAAAATTTGACCTTTTTTTGGCCGTTTTTGACAACATTAAATTTGCTCCCGTTTGCACAAACAAAGTCTGATTTACACAAAATTTTAATACATTGTTCAACTCTAGGGTCTAGGTCATTTGAAAGTGAATTATTTCAAATTGACACATTAGCGCCCCCTACAGACTATTTCAAAATTTTAGATGGGCATTTTCAAATTTAGTTTTTTCAAAATGTATGAAATTTTGCACATAAATCTGTTTTGCCCTCTTGATTCAAAAAGTCAATTGGGTCCAAGGCTTATTTTTTACCCTGTTGCCGTGGCGACGACAAACGCTCCCCATTCATTGCAAATGTACACCTCACACAAACATCAAACCAGCCTCGGCCGTTTCACCGATTCGCCTCAAAATCGCTCCACATCATCTCAACACATGTACCATCAAAATGACTTCAGGGAATTTTGATCAGTGAAACGTTGTTTGAGCAGCGGAGCGCCAAAAAGTGGCGTATTTTTTTTCAGTTTTTGACAATAGAAAAATTGCTTCCGTTTGCACAAACAAAGTGTGATTGGCACAAAACTTGAATCCATGGTTTAGCTCTTGGATCTAGGTCATTTGAAAGTTTAAATTTTGAAATTGGCTCTATAGCGCCACCTACAACAGCCAATTTAAAAATGCCTATGGGATGGGTTCGAGGTCAAAATTGTCGTAGAACCATGTAATTCGGTACACATGTTCCTCAAGTCAAGACATGGAAAACATTTTAACATGGCTAATCCCTCTGACAAACAGGAAGCTCATAAATTTCATTGCAAAATGGAAAAATGAAAACCAATCATTTTCATACATGTCGCTTGGAAAGTGACTCCTCCTCGGCCGTTTCACCGATTGGCCTCAAAATTGCTCCAAATTATCTCAACACATGTACCTTTAAAATGACTTCAGGGATTTTTGATCAGTGAAACGTTGTTTGAGCAGCGGAGCGGCAAAATGTGAGGGTTTTTTTGGCCGTTTGTGACAACATACATTTTTTCCCCATTTGCACAAACAAAGACTGATTTGCATTAAACTTGAATCCATTGTTCAACTCCAAGGTTTAGGTCAGGTGAAAGCGAAATATTTGAAATTGGCCCATTAGCGCCCCCTAAAGACTGAGTCAAAGTTCACATGGGGAGCCAAACCAGCTCTACTTATTATATTCATTACAATTTGACTAACAATCTTCTATGGCTACGGGAACAAATCATCACACGGCGGTGCCACCTCCTTTTAGCGGTGCTGCGTGGTACGGTGTGGTGCGGCGTAGTGCGGGGCGTAGTGCGGGGCGTTGTGGAGCGGCGCGTTGCGGATTGGTGCGGGGCGGCATGGTGCACGCGGTGCGGGGGTGCGCGCATTGCGGGGAGTCGCGCGTTGCGGGGAGTCGCGCGTTGCGGCGAGGGCCGTTCGACGCCGCTTGCGGCTTTAATTTTAAATTTATTCCTTAGAAGTGTTTTTTATTTTTTATTTTGTATTCTCTCTCTCTGACTCTTGCACCGAGCCAAAGCAATTTCCAAGTCTGTGACCTCCTGTTACTTACGTGGCAATAAAAATGATTCTGATTCTGATTCTAAGGATCTCATAGAAATCGTGAATGCAGCAGTGAGGGCGATACATACCACCACAATCACTGAAACCAATGAGCTGATATACACTTCAGCAGCAGTGATCCTAGAGATGCTTGGCTATAAGAGCAACCATGGGAGCCATGGACAATACCCACCATGGAAAAGACGGTTGGAGGCTAAGATCAAGGCGGCTCGGAGAGTAGTGAGTCAATTAACTAAGCCCAGAGAGGTGCAATGAAAAGACCAGTACCCAAAAAGTACAGCCAGATGTCCATACCTGAAACCCTCAAAACTGCCAAACAAAGGCTCCAAGCCCTGGCCAGCCGCCTACAGAGGTACACTAAAGAGAAAGAAGCCAGAAGAGAAAACAGCCTGTTCGCAACACAACCTGCAAAGGTGTACGCTCAGTGGCAGGGTAACAACAGGGGAGCAGACCCACCAAGGCTGGAAACGGAACAGTTCTGGAAGAACATATGGAAGAAGGAAGCAGCGCATAACAGCACAATGGCTGGTGTCCCTGAGAGAGGAGCACAGCCACCTCCCAGAACAGAACTCAGTTAGGCAGACGTTCAAGAAAGTCTCAGGTATGAAAAACTGGACAGCACCTGGGCCTGATATGGTACATGCCTACTGGCTAAGGACACTCACATCACTCCATGAGCACCAAGCAGCACAAAGGAACCAGCTGCTGAGAGATGGGACTCACCCAGAATGGCTAACTGAAGGGCGAACGGTCCTGATCATGAAGGACCCTGTGAAGGGTGCAGTAACCTCCAACTACCGGCCAATAACCTGTCTCTCCACAACATGGAAGCTCATGTCAGGCATCATTGCGGCTAAGATAAGTGGAAATATGGAACAATTCATGAGCACAGCACAGAAGGGCATTGGCAGAGACACCAGAGGAGCCAAACACCAGCTCCTGGTTGACAGAACAGTCGCCCAAGACTGCCGGTCACGACACACCAACCTGTGCACAGCCTGGATTGATTACCAGAAAGCCTACAACTCTATGCCACACACATGGATCATGGAATGCTTGAAGTTGTACAATATCAACAGGGCTCTAAGGGACTTTGTTGCAAACTCGATTGGGATGTGGAAGACCACCCTTGAGGCAAATGGCAAGCCGCTCACACAAGTGACCATCAAATGTGGTATTTGCTCTGGGAGATGCTCTGTCCCCACTACTGTTCTGCATAGGCCTCAACCCTCTAAGCCAAATAATTGACCAGACTGGGTATGGATACCGCCTCAGGAACGGACCAAAGATCAGTCACCTCCTCTACATGGATGACATCAAGCTGTACGCCAAGAGCGAGAGAGACATCAACTCTCTGATCCAAACCACCAGGATCTACAGCCATGACATTGGGATGTCATTCGGACTCGAGAAATGCAGCAGGATGGTGACTCGGAGGCCAGGTAGTCCACACAGAAGGGATCTCACTCCCAGAGTGAACAATAGCAGATGTTGAGGACAGTTACAAGTATCTCGATATACCACAAACAAATGGCAACCTCGAACAGGAAACGAGGAAAGCGGCAACTGCCAAATACCTCCAGCGAGTAAGGCAGGTCCTAAGAAGCCGGCTCAATGGTAAGAACAAGGCCCGGGCATTTAAAAGCTACGCTCTGCCAGTGATCAGATACCCTGCAGGAATAATCAGGTGGCCAAAGGAAGCGATTCAGACCATGGATGTTAAAACTCGAAAGCTCCTCACCATGCATGGTGGGTTCCATCCCAAATCCAGCGCCCTGAGACTGTACATAAGCTGTAAAGAAGGAGGCCGAGGACTAGTAAGTGTGAGAGCCACTGTCCAGGAGGAAACATCCAAACTCCATAACTACATCACGGAGAAGGCCAAAACGGATGACGTACTCAGTGAATGTCTCAGTCAGTGGCGGGATGACGAGGTGCTGGACAAGAACCCTTCATGGGAGAACAAGCCCCTACAAGGCATGTACCACCGGAGCATAACAGAAGTGGCTGATCTGATGAAGTCCTACCAATGGCTAGAAAGGGCTGGCCTACAGGACAGCACAGAGGCACTCATCATGGCTTCACAGGAGCAGGCCCTGAGCAAGAGAGCAACAGAGGCCCAGATATACCACACCAGACAAGACCCAAGGTGCCCAAGCTGCAGGGTGCAAGATGCTGGCAGGGAAGGCCTACATGGAACTCCATAACCAAGGGGCTGGCATAGTGTACAGAAACATCTGTGCAGAGTATGGGCTGGAAACTCCAAGATCCATCCATCCATCCATTTTCTTCCGCTTCATCCGTTTCCGGGTCGCGGGGGCAGCAGTCTAAGCAGAGACGCCCAGACTTCCCTATCCACACACACTTCTTCCAGCTCGTCCGGGGGGACCCCAAGACGTTCCCAGGCCAGCTGAGAAACATAGTCCCTCCAGCGTGTCCTGGGTCTTCCCCGGGGCCTCCTCCCGGTGGGACGTGCCCGGAACACCTCCCCAGGGAGGCGTCCAGGAGGCATCCGGAACAGATGCCCGAGCCACCTCAACTGGTTCCTCTCGACGTGGAGAAGCAGCGGCTCTACTCCGAGCTCCTCCCGTGTGACTGAGCTCCTCACCCTATCTCTAAGGGAGCGCCCAGCCACTCTGCGGAGGAAGCTCATTTCGACCACTTGTATCCGCGATCTCGTTCTTTCGGTCATTACCCACAGCTCATGACCATAGGTGAGGGAGGGAACGAAGATTGACCGGTAAATTGAGAGCTTTACCTTTCGGCTCAGCTCCCTCTTCACCACGACGGTCCGATACAGCGACCGCGTCACTGCGCACACTGCACCGATCCGCCTGTCAATCTCACGCTCCATCCTTCCCTCACTCGTGAACAAGACCCCGAGATACTTTAACTCCCCCACTTGAGGAAGAGCCCCTCCACCCACCGGGAGAGGGCAAGGCACCTTTTTCCGGTCGAGCACCATGGCCTCGGATTTGGAGGTGCTGATTCTCATCCCAGCCGCTTCACACTCTGCTGAAAACCGTCCCAGTGCATGTTGCAGGTCCTGGTTCGTTGGAGCCAACAGGACAACATCGTCCGCAAACAGCAGAGATGAAATCCTGTGGTCCCCGAACCGGACCCCCTCCGGCCCCTGGCTGCGCCTAGAAATTCTTTCCATGAATACAGTGAACAGAACCAGTGACAAAGGGCAGCCCTGGCGGAGGCCAACATGCACCGGGAACAGGTCTGACTTACGAACACAGCTCTGACTCCAGTCATACAGGGACCGGATGGCCCTCAGCAGAGGACCCCGGACCCCATACTCCCGGAAAACCCCCCAAAGGACACCCCGGGGAACACGGTCGAACGCCTTCTCCAAATCCACAAAGCACATGCGGACAGGTTGGGCAAACTCCCATGAACCCTCGAGTATCCAATGGAGAGTGTAGAGCTGGTCCAGTGTTCCGCGACCAGGACGAAAACCACACTGCTCCTCCTGAATCCGAGATTTGACCATCGGCCGTAGCCTCCTCCCCAGTACCTTGGAGTAGACCTTACCGGGGAGGCTGAGGAGTGTGATCCCACGATAATTGGAACACACCCTCCGATCCCCCTTCTTGTAGCGAGGGACCGCCACCCCGGTCTGCCACTCCATTGGCACCACTCCCAATCGCGACGCGATGTTACAGAGACGTGACAGCCAAGACAGTCCTACAACATCCAGAGACCTTAGATAGTCAGGACGGATCTCATCCACTCCCGGCGCCTTGCCACCATGGAGGCTGCCAACCACCTTGGTGACCTCTGCCAGGGAGATAGAAGTATCCCCTCCAACATCCTCAGTCTCTGCCTCCGGGACGGAGGATGTGACGGGGGGATTGAGGAGTGCCACGAGCACTGGTGGACACCCTTGTGCTCGAACATGGTGTTCGTGATGGACCAACTGTGACTAGCACAGAAGTCCAGGAACTGAACACCGCTCGGGTTCAGATCAGCGGGGCCGTTCTTCCCGATCACCCCCCTCCAAGTGTCACTGGCATTTCCCACATGGGCGTTGAAGTCCCCCAGGAGAATAACGGAGTCCCCGGGCGGTGCACTGTCCAGTACACTTCCCAAGGACTCCAAAACTCCAAGGTCTAAGTGGGAAACTCCTCCAAAGGTGGTGGAGAATGAGCGTGCGAAGATCCTGTGGGACTTCCAGATACAAACAGGCCGAATGGCAATGGCGAACCAACCTGACATTGTGGTGGTAGACAAAGGGCAGATGAAAGCTGTGGTGGTGATTGTGGCAATTCCAAGCGATGGTAACATCAGGAAAAAAGAACACAAAAAGCTTGAGAAATACCCAGGGCTCAGAGAGGAGCTGGAAGGGGCCTGGATGGTGAAGGTGACAGTAGTGCCCGTGGTGATCGGTGCACTCGGGGCAGTGATCCCGAAGCTGGACGAGTTGTTACAGCGGATCCCTGGAACAACCTCGGAGACATCTCGGTCCAGAAATGTGCACTGCCAAGAACAGCAAAGATACTGCGCAGAACCCTCAAGCTCCCAGGCCTCTGGTAGAGAACCCAAGCTTAGAGAGAGATAACCGCCCGCGGAGGGCGAAAGGTGTGTGTGTTATACATATATATATATATATATATATATATATATATAAATAATATTAGGGCTGTCAACATTATTGCGTTAACACATGTTAATATAATTGTCATTAGTCACGTTAAATACATTTTTGCATTTGACGCATGCACCGAATTACCCGCCCATACATCCCATAATCCCATAATAACGCTCAGAATGCCGTGTGAAAGAGGCCGACAGAGCAGGTAGATTCTCTTGCTATAGTTTGCTGTTTGAATTCGAATGGGATTCCCTATCCTCCATGGCCTCAGCGTTCTGACCAGGGGCAGCTCTGGACAACGGTTCCCACCTCCAGCGGCTTGACAACAACACGGCGAAAACGGCACCGTCATAACGTGATCAGAACTATTCTCTGCTTGTTGTGTGCGTGTCTTTCCATAACCTGTGCACACTTGTTATCACAAATTGTCTCAGATTTCCCTTTGGGGATACTTGGCTCTCAGCCCATCAACTGGCTCTTTACTGACTGCCCTCTCAGGATCAAGGAGTGGCTGTACTATGTTAGTGCAGCTATGCTATGACTGGGGCCTTGCTGAGCGTATCGGGGGGGTGTCGTTTGACACGACAGCCTCCAACAATGGAGCTTGTATCCTGATTGAACAGCAGCTCCAGAAAGGCGTACTTTGCCGCCATCATGTCCTCGAGCTCCTTCTCACTGCGGTTTTCACAGCGGTCATCGTCCGAACGTGCCACTGTTTAAGCGCTTTAAGATCACTGGCAACACATTGACAAAAGACAGTTGGAGTCGATATGATGACCTACCCTACACTCCATCCGGCCAGGCAGCCCTGAACAAACAAGCTTGTCGCTCTAGCACTCTGTGACAGCAGCAGCTTTTGTGCAGCAGATAGCAGTTATCAGCGACCAAGCCAAGCGCAGTGTCACCTTAATTCAAGAATACAATGGAAAGCTAACTCAGAATGAGGGGCATCTGTAGTTTCTCATCATCACACAGAATTTCCAGACTCCAAAAATTTGAACATAGCAGCTGGTATGGTGCCTCAGCAGAAGATAGAGGAGATCTAAGGTGGGTGCCAATAGAATATTGCTTTTTATTTGAGGATTTTCTTTTTACATTTACAGCAAACAAAAATACAAAAAAGCAATCAAGCATACTTACTACTTAGTCATATAATGATGTGTTGAACTTTGGCATGTTTGCTATTTTCATCACCATTGATATCTGTCATTTTTCATACATGTAAAATCGTAGATTTCATCAGTTTTGATGTCAAACTTAAATATTATTCAATTTTTTAAATAAATATTATATATATATAAGGTGGTCCAATTGAGACAAAAATTCATGAGAAGAAATTTCTCAGTTAATCCAACAAATTTCATACAGTAGGTCCCATTCCGTTTTGTCGCCTTTCACGCGTGAATCACACGAGACTCACGTGTGATTCACGCGTCTTTTATTTTCCCCCCTCCCAGTGACGTTGCAATGACCAAAACAACCACCAGGTGGCACTTGTGAGCAGGGTTACATTGGCGTCTCATCGCTCTTTCTTCTAGCGTACTGTACATCGGACTTATATCCGTCGCCTATGAGTTTCTGCCCCGCGCACATCGACAATCTGGTTAAAACGGGCAACTCCTTGTAGCAGGCCAGTCTCTGGAATAACCCGCAGACATTAAAACTACTGCATATAACGTAAACTTTTGCATCACGTTGGTGATCTTTCCAAAAAGAGAGAATATCGTTATGGAAAGAGAAACTATTGGTAATATAACGCTGAACGTTATCTGACTCAAACAGAGTGTCTCCTCCCACTCAGAAAAAAAGCAGACGCCTTTTCTCTGGCATCTCTAACATTTATAATAAATACATAAATATAACAATCATAATAAAGATGCTTTCAAATAATTTAGCAAGCTGTAATTCATTTATTTTAACTCCCTACCAAACTTCTCTCGCTGCTCTCTCCTCTGCAATCTATTTTGAATGTTACACATACAATATTAATATAGTCTAAGCACGTGGAACACCTGTAGCCCGTGTATTTACCACAGACTGTAAGTATTAAAGTAATGAGTCCCCTGCTTTAGGCCTCTGCTGTGAGGCCCACAGTCATCAGTCTCGGTGCCTCTGTGTAGATCACACGTCTGTCCTCGGGCTGGAGTGTTCTGAGGCTTTAAGCGGGGAGTCAGGAAGGAGCGATCCTGTTTGTCAGCATGATAATCGCGCAGCCTCCCTGCGCGATTGCAAATGTACTCAAGGGACTCCCATACCGTGGCTCACATATATAATATTATATAGGGATCAGGAGCTTTCTGACCCGACCCACCCGCACCTGACATGACTCATATTTTTGAGGCATCCAACCCGCCCGAAACCGCGGGACCCGCGGGTTGACTGCGGGTTTCGGGCCGACCCGCGCATCTCGCATGTCCTGTTCAGGGCTGCAGGAGCAATTGTCCATTATTTTAATTGGACTTCTGGTCCATGCACACTGTAAAAAAGAAAAAGTTAGTTCAACTCAAAATTTTAAAGCAACCAGCTGCGAAGGATTTTTGAGTTGAAGGCATTAACTTAATTCTTCAAGTTTTGAAGAACTACACTTATTAAGTTGTGTCAGTTAAGTTTTCCAAGTTCTGCCAACTAAGTGTTTAAATTCAAGTTACTGGAAATTTCAAGTCTGTAAAAACTTACTTTTTTAAGTTCAGATTACTGTCCCCCTTTTTTTTTTCAAGCCAAAACTGAGAAACCTCAAGAGAATGCATCTGGATCAGCCCATGGACAATCTGCACAGCCCCTGATTCCACTCAGGCCTGCTGTGAGCTGCTGAGACATGGACAACACCAGCGTCCTCTTTTGCATGGACATCATTTGGAACAATTGGATTACACAATTTGGACATAATTTGGAACAATCTGGATTTCTGAATTTGGACATAATTTGGACTGAATTGAATTGCTGAATCTGGACACTAAAGCTGAAACGTGCGATTGAAAGACACGTCACAGAAGAATTCATGGCTCGACACAAATGCAGCCTGAAGAAATCAACACGGAGAAGTGGGAGAGACTGTTTTCAAAGCAATATCTGAGAACCATCGACTGATGAAGTTTGGTATTTTACTGAAGATTGTTGACAAGTTTTATGAAAGATCTGAAAATGTTTTATGAGTTTCCTGAGTTTTTTGAAGTACCGAGTGAAGTACCGAGTTTAAGTATTGAGTTATGATGTTATGTTGCTGTTTATCGATCCTGATGGTCACACGTGAATGTGTGACCAGAGGGGGGAATGTGAGATTTCATAACACTTTTAAGCAACTTTTGTTAAAGTTAAACTCATCATTCTATCAATGTGCAGAAGCCTGTACTTTTCCACTTCATGTTTTGTCTATCTGAAGGCCAAGCTACAAGCACAACGTGGAAGCTGCTGATTGGAGGTCTCCATGCCTCCGCTCTGTATAATACACTTGCCTTCTGTTGTATCTGTTGTTCGTGCTGTCTCTACCATCGACAATAAAACATGTCTTCTGTCTGAATTTAAGACGCGATCCCAGGCTTTGTCATCTTCTTCAGGTGGTGGAGAATGCGGGCATTGTCTGTAACATCTAGAGAACAGAAGACTACTTTTTTTTTACACAAAAATGTGTTTTTTTTTTAAAGCCAAAACTGAGAAACCTCAAGAGAAACCATGCATCTGGACCAGCACACTTGGACAATCTGCACAGCCCCTGATTCCAGTCAGGCCTGCTGTGAGCTGCTGAGACATGGACAACACCATCGTTCTCTTTTGCATGGACATCATTTGGAACAATTGGATTACACAATTTGGACATAATTTGGACTGAATTGAATTGCTGAATCTGGACACTGAAGCTGAAACGTGTGATTGAAAGACACGTCACAGAAGAATTCATGGCTCAACACAAATGCAGCCTGAAGAAACCAACACGGAGAAGTGGGAGAGACTGTTTTCAAAGCAATATCTGGAACCACATCGACTGATGAAGTTTGGTATTTTACTGAAGATTGTTGACAAGTTTTATGAAAGATCTGAACATGTTTTATGAGTTTTCTGAGTTTTTGAAGTATTCCGAGTTCTGAGTTTTTTGAAGTACCGAGTGAAGAACCGAGTTTGAGTTTTTAACGTATTGAGTTATGATGTTATGTTGCTGTTTATCGATCCTGATGGTCACACGTGAATGTGTGACCAGAGGGGGGAATGTGAGATTTCATAACACTTTTAAACAACTTTTGTTAAAGTTAAACTCATCATTCTATCAATGTGCAGAAGCCTGTACTTTTCCCTTGTTTTGTCTATCTGAAGGCCAAGCTACGTGGCACCGTGGAAGCTGCTGATTGGAGGTCTCCATGCCTCCGCTCTGTATAATACACTTGCATTCTGTTGTATCTGTTGTTCGTGCTGTCTCTACCATCGACAATAAAACATGTCTTCTGTCTGAATGAAAGACGCGATCCCAGACTGTCATCTTCTTCAGTATTAAACTCTATCCAGTAGGGGGCGTTGCACAGTCACATGAGGCTTGCATTAAGCATCCATGTCCATAACTCACTCTCAGCACAATCAGGCGAAATAGAAACGTGAGAAAATGGAGTGAGGAGAAAATATAGGATTTCCATGTTTTGAATGAAGAAGAAGAAGAAGTTAGTCCTTTATTCGTTCCACATTGGGGAAATGTCTGTTCGATGAATACACATATATGCAAAGTATATACGTTCTGACATTATTGCACTGGTGGATGGTGTGTGAGATCAGTAGTGTTCATCAGTTTTCATTGTTCATCATACAGTCTGACAGCAGTGGGGAGCAAAGACCTGTGGAACCTCTCACCGCAAAATGTTGTTAATGTGAATTTTTTTGTTTCTTCTTTGTTTTTCTTTATTTTACTTTTCATTTATTTGTGTACCTTATTATTTTCTCTGTCATTCTTCTGTTTTGCACAGTGGGGGCAGGTCCCGGCTCAAAAGTGGCCAAAATGACGTGCGCTGACATGCTTGCAATACCACCCCGGGCCGATGGGGGTGGACCCAGAAGTAGAATTATGCTAACATATAGCATTGGCAGACCTCTCGAAAACATCTTTACAGGATGGACCAAAAGTTGGCTCTTGGTCCAAAGATCCGTTCCACATGTGTGTCAATGCTGAGGGGGGTGGATTTTTCTGGACCACTCTAGTTGACTCGCGGGGAATTTTTGAAGTCTCTCGTTTAAATGAATGGAGCTGCGCCGGCTGACGCATGCACAGATGTGTTTTTTCCATAGAATGTATATACAGTGCCTTGCCTTGTATTGAACATTTCAACATTTCGCCACATTTCAGGCTTCAAACATAAAGATATAACATTTTTATTTTTTGTCATGAATCAACAACAAGTGGGACACAATCGTGAAGTGGAACGAAATGTATTCGATAATTTAAACTTGTTTAACAAATAAAAAACTGAAAAGTGGGGCGTGCAATATTATTCGGCCCCCTCGCGCTAATACTTTGTTGCGCCACCTTTTGCTGCAATTACAGCTGCAAGTCGCTTGGGGTATGTCTCTATCAGTTTTGCACATCGAGAGACTGGAATTCTTTCCCATTCTTCCTTGCAAAACAGCTCGAGCTCAGTGAGGTTGGATGGAGAGCGTTTGTGAACAGCAGTCTTCAGCTCTTTCCACAGATTCTCGATTGGATTCAGGTCTGGACTTTGACTTGGCCATTCTAACACCTGGATACGTCTATTTGTGAACCATTCCATTGTAGATTTGGCTTTATGTTTTGGATCATTGTCTTGTTGGAAGATAAATCTCC